AGATGGACTCTACTACTGCCAGATGTAGCCATTGGTTTCAGTGGTCAGCATCGGCTCCTACTGCCATAGCCAGATGCTATCACCGGCCAATGCTGGTTGTCCCCATGCTGGTCTCTGCTGATGGTCTCTCCTGATTTCTATGGCCACTCTCTGGAGGTCCTCAGAGCTAGCAGCCCAAAGTGTTTGCACTCATCCCTCTTTTCTAACTCAACCACATAGATCTAAGCTGCTTTGGGATAAAAATCTGGAGTATATTTCTAAGACCTTCCAAGACCATAGAAGAACTGAGAAAGAAATGACAAGTATTTTTGGAGGACCACCTTATGAAATTTTATCTGAAAAACGCCTATGCTGTAGAACATCAGGTTCCAATGTGAGAAGCATAAACTGAGTGCTGCTTACACAGGAGCAACAAGCCTGTGAGTGGTTTAATTTAAGTCCATTCATTTGTCCAAATTGAATTCTATGATTTGGTTCCAATTCAGTCCAACTGGTTTGGACCTAGCTACCATTAACCAAGATTTCTGAAGCTGTGAGCCAAATTAAACTGCTCTTAATTTAAGTTATAGGTATTGAATGTTGTGCCCCAGTCATGAAAAAGCTAAAATACATTTAGTCGCAATTTTCTCCATAAATGTCCTAATTCCAAAAACAGTAAAGTTGAGTGTTAGAATTCAAAGTAAGTTGTAGGGAAACATAGCACGCCAAGTCCCTAACATGCAAAATCTTATTACTCACTGGCCCACAGAATGGGTCACTGTGGCACTATGGATTTCTCACTGTCTGTGGGGAGTATCCCAGAGAGCTGGCAGCCAGGGACATAAAAGGTTCAAGAAAATGGTATTTCACACCTTCATCCACTAATACTTTTGATCACACATGTAGGAATTTGTAGTGTGTCTTCACAGCAGGGAGTCAGAAAATCCAGCTGTGCAATGGTTAGTAACCATTTGGAGCTTCAAAGAGAAGGAAAGGTTTGATGCTAGACTCTCACTTCCTGCATGCCCTGAATAGTGACAGTCAGAGAAAAATCTGCTTGCAAGAAGAAGGAAGGGGTGTGTGATATAGACACAGGGTCCAACCCCAGCCCATCCTGGAACCCCTCAGTGTATCTCTATAAGTTGTGCGTCTCTATTAGTTGGACCTTGGATTTCGGTGACTCAGCTGTGTATCTCTCTGCCTGCAAAGGGGACAGCACTGCAGATACTTATCATTGTGTGAACCTCAATTCTGACAAAGATCTGAAAACCTAGGCACCAGTCAGGTGTGGCAGTACATGTGTGTTTTCCCAGGTCTCTAGGCTGCTGAGGCCAAAAGTTCACAACCAGAAACCCAGCCTGGACAACTCAGTGAAACGGTGCTTCGAAATAGAACAGGGATAAGGCCACAGCTCAGTTTGACTGCCCTAACTTCAAAATGTAGCTAAAAAACGGAGGGGGGGGGAGAGAGAGACAGAGAGACAGAGAGACAGAGAGAGACAGAGAGAGAGAGAGAGAGAGAGAGACAGAGACAGAGACAGAGACAGAGACACAGAGAGAAACAGAGACACAGAGAGAGACAGATAGAGATTACCAAAGAGAATGACAGAGGGAGAAAGATAAATAGAAAGAAAGAAAGAAAGAAAGAAAGAAAGAAAGAAAGAAAGAAAGAAGAAAGGAAGGAAGGAAGGAAGGAAGAAAGAAAAAGAGAAGAAAGGAAGGAAGGAAGGAAGGAAGAAATAAAGAAAGAAAGAAAGAAAGAAAGAAAGAAAAAGAAAGAAAGAAATTAAGAAAGAAAGGAAGAAAGAAGAAATAAGAAAGAATATAAAAAGAATCCTAGATTGTGAGGTTATTAGGAAGAGACAAAAATAGTCTTAGTTCTCTAGAAAGTGCAACGTCTTCTATCAGTAGGAGAAGGGAAATTAAGCCTGAGAAGGCCATGTGTTACTTCAGTAAGTTCTCTCCAAAAGCACTTTGCCTGACAGTGTACCCTACCTGGTACCAAAGGAGGAATCTGTTATGTTAGAGATTTTCGTGTTTTAATGTAAGCTTGTATAATAATAGTGTAGTGTGGGAAGGAACATCAGAGAGGTTGGCTTTATATACTTGAAGGAGAGTGAGATTTGAGGAAGATTAAGAAGAGAGAACTGAGAAGAGATGTTTAAAAATAGAGATGGAGTTGCAAGGTGGCCTGAGGCGGTGTTCTATGCAATACAGTCTCTCTTCTCTTTTCAAAATCCTCAGTATCCTAAAACTATAGAGCAAAGCCTTGTAGACATTGGTATCATCTGGCCGCCAGTCTCAGTAGAGGACACCACCAGATAACCAGGTGCCTGAGATGAGAAGCTTGTAGTTGAATATAGAATCTTCTTTGTGAATTCTGGCTGCAATATCTTCTCCTTAGGGAAGTCACTTGCTTTCCAAAACACGAGGGAAGGCAAGTTAACCCTAACAATATATAATGAAAGACTTGGCAACTTTCCCAGGATCCACTCTGCTTTCCAAGGATATTGGTTCTCCTGCTGAGCACCCAGATTCAAGTCCCTTCTGTGCCTACACAGCCCTCCCCAATCTCTCCTAGACCTCAGCAAGCTTTGCCTTCTGCCTTTCTGCACTTGACCTTTCTAGCCATGGAAGTCTCTCCTTTTTCCCTACTCCCAACACACACTGCTTGCCTCGCTCGAGGATGTCTTTCTTCTCATTTTTACTCTGTCATTTCCAGTTCTGAATGGTATTGCTGTATTGACTACACATTCATAAAAAATGTCATGTTTATATTTGACACAAGTATATACTTACTTTTATTGAGTCCTCTAATGATATTCCTTACTGTTTTCCTTTTGAAAGGGACCTGAAATGTTATGGACCATCATTATTAGTCATCTCAATTTTACATCCATGACACTTTATCATAAGGAGGAGGTATTATGTATTTTTCTTAATCGTGGTCGACTTTCAAGGCTGAAAATTCTCTAATTGTGTCTAAGGCTAGGATATGAAACAAAGAATATATTATAGAAATATTTATCTAAGCTTGAGGTCCTGTCACAATGAAATTCTTCAGCACAGTTATGCTTTTCCTTAGCCCCATCTTTAGGGACTTAATGGAGCTGGAAACATTAGCAAGGCTCCCCAGAAATTAATTTTAAAAATGTAGAAAAACACTTATTCTCAATACAGGGTTCTAACAATCTTGGCAATTAGAAGACATTATGTATGACATCCTCAACTAAAAGGAGAATAAATTTATTTGGCTGGCAATTTACAGCAGGTTAAGTCAAAAGTTGGGGAGTTCAGTGGCAGAAAACACATGGTAGAAAGCTATGACGGGAAAATTGCTTATGCGAGGAATCCAAGAGGTAGAGAAAGACAGAAGAAGCCGGAGACAGGAACACACTTTTCAGGCTGCTGTCTCCAGCATCTTTCAACCATGCCCCACCTCTGAACACAGGAGACTTTGGGGGTCATTTAGATCTTATCTGTACTAGATTGTTTATTCCCAGATATAAAAATCTATAAATAAACATGTAAAATCAATGAACAATGTTTATCTCAAATTGGATAATGAATAAAAGCAAAATCGTAAAAAAATGTGGGTCTAATGGAGAAGAGCTCTGAAATTCAGTGTTTCTAGGATGGACCATCTTGCAGATGCCTCATTGCTTACCATGTTGACCCATGTTATTCTGGCTTAGTTTTAATTTAGTTTTCTAAATGTAATTGTATATAATTTGTTTCGTTTTAATATATAATATTGTTTTACACAAACTTACATTTATATTTTTTCTCAAACACTTTGAATTTCCAAACATGGATGCGAAGAATCAGTTCTAACCTGGCCAGTTTTGCAATGCAGAAGAATGGGTGTGCGTGTGTGAGGAGATGAGGGGTTCAGGATGCCCTTGTAGGTGCAGTCAGTCATAAATAAGCACATGGCCCCAAAAGGAGGATTTCAAGGAGACTGCTGGTCACTGGCCACTTGGGAGCGCTGTGGTTTTACCGTGTTTCAGGGACCCCTCTGCCTGTGTGTGTGTGTGTGTGTGTGTGTGTGTGTGTGTGTGTGTTTCGTTGTGCTTTGGAAACTAGCCAGGAGAGCAGAACTGGAAAGAATGACAGGCTGTCTGCTTGGATCAGAAAGGTGCCTTGAATTTACTGGATGGAACTTGGACATGTGGAGGTAAACACAGACTCATTGTCTGGGGAAGGTGAGGGTGCCTTGTGTTTCAATGTGCTCAAGAATGAAGATTATTTGCTCCTGCATAGGCAGTTGTTGGTGAATCAGCTGGGGATAGGAGAAGGTGGAAACTCATTGTCTGGATAGAACAGAAGCAATGTCAGTATGGAAGCAAGGTGTATGGGAAGGGAGTTTGCCCTGAATCAGCTTCAGCCCATTTTTTCTGTTATCCTGGGTTTGCTGTTCTCTAATTTCTCTCTCTCTCTCTCTCTCTCTCTCTCTCTCTCTCTCTCTCTCTCTCTCTCTCTCTCTCTCTTTCATCTAAAGCTAGATCCTGCCAGATCTGTACAAAAGCAGTCTCTGAACCCGAGGATGCTAAGAATGTGGCTCTGTCTGCTCCCATCCATTCAGCGGGGAGCTCACGCTCTGTCCATGCTCCCCTCTTAGTTCTCAAATGTCCCTGCTGATTTTGAGCCTTAGATTCTCCCTGGATTATCTCTACACACTAAGACTTGTGGGGGCATCTACCCACTTTTGTCTCTGTATTCTTCAAATTTTAAATAATCAGGTCCTGAGAGCTTCTCAAACAAGACTTTGCACCGGCTGTCAGAGAAGTGAGTGGGTTCTACTAATCCATTCAGGTTGTATACACTGGTTTGCTGTCCTGAAACCCAGACAATGACACTGTTTAACACAAGCTGCACACTGGAAGACACTCTGGGTCCAGCCTTGGGGCTTCTCATGTCCTTGATGTCATCCAGGTTCTGTTTCCTGTTCAGGTGCACACCTATGTCTGTGGCGCATGACAGGCTGTGACATCATCAGATCTCTTCCTTTGTACTGCTAGCAACCAGCGTCCCAACTGGGACAGACCTCAGACCTATGAAACCCTACCATGGATATTATTGTCCCCTGCTGGGTGATCTTTGGTCTCTTTGGGGCAGGTGAGTCCTGGAAGCTCCTATAGTTTCCCATTCTGCCTTCACTAGGGATGCTTCCACTCTTTCACCTCATGATCTTTTTGCTGTCATTCTCCACAGGGCATTTGGTACCTGGTGTCAAGCAAACTCCCAGCCACAAGATCACTGAGATGGGACATCCTGTGACTCTGAGGTGCGACCCCATTTCTGGTCAAAATTACATCTACTGGTACCGACAGACTGCAGAAAGAGGAATGGAATTTATGGCTTATCTTTATGACAATGACCCCATGGACAAAGCAGACTTTTTCAAGGATCGATTCTCACTAGAGAAACCTAAGGGATCGCACTCCATTATGAAGATCCAGCCCGTGCAGCTGGGAGACTTGGCTGTGTATCTATGTGCCAGCAGTGCAGCCACAGCCTCACACAGACATTTCCTGTCTCTACAAAAACTCAGTACCTCCCCCTCTCCCTGGAGTCTGAGCAGTCCTTCCTTCCTGTGGAGTCAGGGATGTGTAGCTGGTGCAGTGGTTGCTTCTAACAGAGGCCAAAAATTAACCCTACTCATCAGAATAGTCAGTAGAAATAAAGATAACTCAAGCAATGTTATTTGACAAATACTCACAGAAGGTGGCCATGAACCCAAGTATGTGACAAATGTGGCCACAGAACAGACCTGGCTTCAATACATTAATAAATCTTACGTGCTTTCTGGGTTTCTGGCTGTGTTTTTTCTATGTAGCAAACATACCTTCTCTCTTTAATTTAAACAGGCTTTCTATAGAGGAAGGGCTTTTGTGATCCAGATAAAGATTTTCTGTCTTGGACTAGATACCAAATCTGAACATCATATAAGGGTTGGAATGGAAAATAGTTCTAGAACAGTAGGCAGCAGAAGCAAAAGCCCCTGAGGACTCTGTACCCAGGACAGGGAGGCAGGCTTGTTTAGCGATGCTGGTTACCCACATGAGTGTGAGCTCACTGCAGATGCATGCTTACAAGAGTATGAAAGTCAAAAGCACAATGGCAACGAGCTGAACACTCCCTAGGTGATGTGTGGAAAGAACCCCAAGTTCTTAGGGCTACCATCTTCTAATGGTTGGCAAGGGCTGATGTATGAAATACTTTATGAGGAAAGCTCCCAATTTCCTAACAATAAATCGTGTGAATCACAAGTATTCACTTGAAAAACTAAATAGGAAATTCTGTGCTAGGCTAGTCGAGTACCTCAATTGATTACATGCCTATTTATCCACTCACTCTTTCATTCACTATTCTTTCAATAAAGACCTTTCACCCCAGATATTGAAAGTAGGTCTGTTAGTATGTTAGAATATGCTATGACACAAGAGAAAAAAGATCACAGAACCATATTCATTGCAGGGACCAGTGTGACCACATCTGGATTTTCCTTCATGATATAAAGTCATCAGATCTTCTTCAAAGGGTTACCACTAGGACAGAAGGAAAATTTGGAGCTGTACAGTCTCATATTTGACAGGAAGCCTGTAGTTAATCATTCAAAGTGGGGGACATATGAGGGTGAAGATGGTGCTGTTGATTACACACGAGCAACTGACATAGAGTGGAGGAGGTAATATCTTACCCATGTGCCGGCCATGGAGCCCTGTGACTTCCCCTCAGAATCCTGGGTAGGAAGAAGCCCCAACTCTGTGTGGACTCTGATGCTAGCTGACTGCAAGTTCCTGGCCTGTCGCCACCTTCCTTTTGGACACATGGTCTCAAGAGAACAGAGGATACTCCCGGTTTAGGGTTGGAAGACCCCTGCTCTAAGTCTGTCACTCTTCCAGTGGGTTTCCTTTATCTTCTCTTAGAAGAGGGAAGCCACATGCTGAGTTTGGTCTCTAAAATAAATTAGGCTTCTAAATTACAGTCTGCTGTGGGAAGCCTTGTAATTGGCTACCACTTTATATCTGCTGGCTGCAGCCACCTTAACTCTCCCTAAGTGTTAAGTTTGGTAGTTAAGCTTCGCCCCTTGCCTAGCTTGTTTGGCCCATTCAGGGATTATGTTAATCAGCCTGCTTTATGAGCCTGTGTATGAGAAATTTGAATTAACCTATAACCCTCAGTCTTGCTACTGTTGCTAATTTACCTGCTGACATCTCAGAACCCAACTCCCTCCTCCCCTAATACCATATATATTTGTTACTCTTTGAATAAACAAGACTTGATCGGAATTCTGTGTTGTCTCCATTTTTCGAGTCTCTTGTCCCTTCTCATCCCCTCTCCCCCTCTAACGTCTACCTTGACTCACCTTCAGGCCAGGACAGTCTAACTTCCTGAGATTAGCTCCTCTTTAAATTAAGGTAGTAGGTACCTCCATAAGTAAATTAAGGTAATCTCCTAAATTAGGGTATGGCCCTGTTTTATACACTTGGAAATTGGGGTCCCATGTTGCTTATTGGTTACATTTGAAAGATGGGATTTTGAAAGTCCTTGATAAAGACATCCCTAAATCAGAAAGCAGCCAAGAGGGTTATCGAACCCCTTTCTCTTCTTTTCTATTCTACTCTTTTTTTCTTTCTGAGACGGTGATTGACTACGCAATTCAGGCTAACTTTGAGCTCACTATGTAGCCCATGCTAGTTTGGTACTCATTATAGTCTTCCTGCCTCAGCCTCAAGAATGCCCCCCCCCACACAGATATGTACAAATTATATTAAATCTGACTCATTAGCATTGAGTGATACAAGCTAATTTAATAAATACCTCCCAGAAATACTCCCTCTCAAATAACACTTACAGTAGACATTCTTGAAACTAGAACTTTATATTTTTAACATCAAGTCATTGTTAGAAAATTTTTAATCTTTAGTACTATCAATGGTTCCTCCATTAGTGGCTTTCATTAATGAATGTGAATTCCCATAAATATAGAGACTAATGTTTTGGCTAATTTGATATTAAAAATAATATACTTAAGAAACATGACATTTAGAGTAAAAGTGAATCCCACCATAAATTAGCACCATAATTTCAAAAATTCAAAACATAACATTCTAAGGCACATAAAGATTGACTGCTATAAAAATCAAAAGGAAAGAAAAAAACTAATAATAAGTGTTGATGAAGATGTGACGAAAATGGAGTCTTGGCATTGCTGGAGAGAAATTAAGAAAGCTCCCATTCTCCGTTAAAGCAGTATAACAATTTCTTAAAAGCTAAAGATGGAATTACAGTATGATGTAGCAATTTCCTCTCTGGATATACAAATGAAAATACTGAAAACAAGCACTAGAACAGATACTAGTACATTAATGTTCATAGCAGTGTTTTTTTCCTGTATCCAAAATGTAGAAACAAACTACCCACCAACAACTGAGTAGGTTTTAAAAATGTGATGTAACCTTGGTTTAATTGTGCCCACCTATAATCCCACACTTCACTAGGATGAGAGAAAAGGATTGCAAGGTAAAGCCCAGCCAGGAAAAGTTATCAAGATTTCACTCAAAATTTAAAAAAAAAAGAAGCTAAAAAAGACTGAGCATGCAGCTCAGTGAAAATGCCCTGGATTTAATCCTCAGTGCTGCTAAATTACTGTAACATAGAATAGGAATATTATTCAGTGTTAAAATGGAAAAGAAGTATGGACACATGCTATGACATGGAGGAACATCAAAGACATTGTCCTGTGGAAAAGAAACCAGATAGAAATAAAGATAGGTGTCATGTAACTCCAGTTATGTGAGTTATAAGATTAGTCACATTTATAAAGAAAAGAGCATGGAGTAGTTGTTACAAGGGGCTTGCAAGAGGAAGGCAATGGGCAGTGTTTGTTTAATGCATAGAGTGTCAGTTGGGGATGAACTGGAGATGGATGGTGATGACTGTTATGTAACAAAGTGAATGTTGTCAGTGCCACTGAACTGTACATTTCACAAGGGTTAAAATTAATTTTAATTTTGATTTTAATATCAACAGCAAATCCAATTCAAATGGTTAAATTTTATATAGCATATACTTTAGTCAAAACCTTTACACTTTAGCTTTTAGAAAACATGATCTCTGAAAAAAGGTGAGTTCAAGGCAAGCCAGAAAGATCGATTAACCCCAATTTTGAATACATAAGTCACGTGTTAGTGTTTTTCTATCTTGCTCCCTATTTCTTAAGGAAAATTATTGCTTATGATTGATTTAATACAACTGCTAGATGTGAACAACTAAGCTGAAAATCTATGCTGGAGGTTCTGAGGCATCTTGAAAGAGGCTCTAAGAAATAAAGAGAGGAAGAAAATAGGAAAAACCTATGTTCTTCCTTATGAAATGTCTGGCATAATATCAAGACTTTTTCAGATGCTATGAAGTGAATCCGTATGTCACAGGCATGATTGTGCTGAGCCATCCAAGGAAGCACCAATTTCTGGCCATTTGATATGACTGGGTTAGAATGCTGCAAATCCATCTAGGGTTCTTTTGTTCAGTGTAGACCAAAATTAGAAATGGTCTAGATACAGCTCTGTTAGCATCTCCGGCTCTGGACTTTGAATCCAGCCCTTTGAATTCTCAGCCCTTAGTGCTAAAGCTGTGGACTGAAGGTGACCATGTGTCACAGATGGACTCTACCACTGAGAGATGTAGCCATTGGTGACCACTGGTCAACATTGGCTCCTCCTGCCAATGTCCGATGTCACCACCAGCTCATGCTGGTTGTTCCCATGTTGGTCTCTGTGGATGATCTCTCTTGATTTTTACTGCCACTGTTTGGTGGTCTTCACAGCTAGGGTCCACAGGAAATTTTTTTTTTTTTGCACTTCTAGCTCTTTTTTAATTCAACCCCATGGCCCAAGATATTTTGGGATAAAGGTCTAAGTAGATTTACAAGACCTTCCTAAATCATAATATCTGAAAAATGAATCACAAGTAAATTTGCAGGACCACCAGAGGAAGGTTTTATCTGAAAAAGATCTGTGTTATAAGAATATCAGGTTCCAATCTGAGAACTGTGAAGAGAGAGCTGCTTATATAGGACCAATAGGTCTGTGATTGGTTCAAATTTAAGTTCACTGATTGGTCAAAATTGAATTCCACTATTTGCTTCAAATTCCGGGGCACTGCTTTGGACCCAGCTGCCATGAACCAAATTCTCTCAAGCTGTGAGCCAAATTAGACTGGACTTCCTTTAAGTTGTAGATGTTGAATGTTATGCCCCAGTCATGCAATTCGTTTACATACATTTAGCTTCAATTTCCTCCACAAGGGCCCTCTCTCTCTCAATAGAATAAGCTTGGATACTAGAATTCAAAGTTTTAGGGGAACGTAGAACACTGAGTCCCTAATGTGCCAATACTTATTACCCACTGGTCCACACAGTGGGGCACTGTGGCACTATGGACTTCCCACTGTCTGTGGGGAGCAGTGAACAGAGCTGGCACCCAAGGACATAGAAGGTTCAAGAAGAATGCTATTTCACACTTTCATCCACTCATATTTTTGATGGCACATACAGTAATTTGTGGTGTATTTCCACAGGAGGGATTCAGAAACTCCAGCTATACAATGTTTAGAAACCATTTGAGATTCAAAGAGATAAGGAAAGTTTTGGTGATAAATTAGGCTGGCCTGCATGCCTAGAGTAGCCACAGGCAGCAGAAAATCTGCTTCCAAGGTGAAGCAAGGGAGCTGTGGGGTACATACATGGCCCAGCTTCGTCCAATGTGGAGCACCCTAGTGTAGCTCTCTGTAAGTTGTCTTATTGTGTCAAGAAAAGATCTAACTGGGGTTTTGTATTAGCTGAGCCCCAGAGACATGGTAAGAAAAGTAAGTTGTGGGGGCATCTGTGGAGACAATGACATCCAAGAAGTGATATCACATTGTAACCTCCAGTCAACGAACAGATGACAACCCTAGCCTTGAGGATGAGAACCTTGAGCAGCATGACAGTGGCTCAATTCTGTCCTATTGTGCCATGAGTTCTAGATTTCTCTGTTAGTGGGTGTTTGTCTCTTTGGAGGAATTAAGTCGTGAGAACAAGGGCTGCTTCACCATTCTGGCTTGCTATCTCCTGAATCTTCCACTGTCCGGCGCCGCATCTGTCCCGCAGAATGAGGCACACGAACACTTTGTCTCTGCAGGCTCCTTTATTGACTGGGCTACAACCTCAATACACGTCCGTCCTTGACGGCTTCCTACGTGTTGTGCGTCGGGCACTTCCTATACTTGGGCTTATATAGCTAATGTTATCCAATCATGGGATTACACGTGGGGACAGGCGATTGGGCGGCAACAAGGAAGCAATCAATCATTACCATATATGGCGAGGACAGTAAGCCGAGCAAGAACCAGGAAGCAGGATGTGTGCGCCATCTTGGGCACACGATGGGCGGGGGAGCAGCGAGGCGGTAGGCGGACGCATCTTGTGGCTATATTCTCATGGGTAATACGGCAGGCTCCCAACATCTCCCCCTTTCTTATTTACAAGGAAGGACAGCGAGACCTTCCAAGTGACTACAGAGGTCTGTACCCCGCTGTGCATGGCTCTGAGGTCATCCCCCAGCACAGGTTGGCCACCCCCGCGTCGGAAGGGACCTCCAAGCCTCATCCTTTTGTGCAGGGCTAGGGTAATTCGGATGAAACCTAGATGCATACAGACATATAGCCTGACATCTCTCTTCAAAAACCCCAAGAGTAGAATGTCATGCAGTACCATCTGGTCTCGCACCTTGGTGCCTCTTGCTGTCATTGTGTGGAATGGGGCCTGTCTTAAGTTGAGCAAGGTGGGGTACCTCAGTCTTACCCGTCTTTGGCTCACCCATCCAGCATTTTATAACTGATGCTCTGCGACATGGAGGAGATATGCAGCCGCCTGGCTACTGGATGGGCCCCCCTCCGCCAGCTGCATTGCCGCCATAGCTGTGAACTTGACCTGCTGCTGGGTTTGCATCAAGCGGTCTAGCAAGCATTTGACGACCACCAACCCCACCAGTATGGCAACAACAATCAGAATCCAAGTAGTCAAATTGGGCCAAGAGAACCAGGAAGTGACATGGTCCCACAAACCTTTTAGGACGTCCCTCAGGGTAGACAAATCAAACCTAACTGGGTTTAATTGAACCTTTTCTATCTCATTTAACTCGTGATTAACAATCACAGACAGATTATGAAATTTTGGCAGATAAGTGTCCTGTAACCACGCGGTCATAGTTTTGTGGTTTCAGTCAAGTTGGTGCGAACGGGAGTGACACACACCCGGAAGGACAGCCACCTCTGGTCGCAAATTTGAGTGGCGACCTGCCACAAGGCATTGATCTCTTGTCCGATGAGTTGGATTTCTTCTTGTAGCCGGAGTATTGCTTGGCTGTTTAGCTCTATCTGTTGCCTTTGAGCCTTGATGGTCTCTCGTGTGGCGTTGCTCAGCCGATTGACTGCATCCATGGTCAGCGCGAGCTGCTCGGAGGTCCATGCCTGCAAAACAGCCTGTCCCACTGCAGGGACAAACAGAGAAGAGACCACCCCCGCTGCCTGCCACAATCAATCTTTTATCCCTCTTTTAGTTCTGGTTGGTAAGGAAGAGAGCGAGATCTGCTGTGAGACCGGTCCAACCCAGTCCTGGGCTTGCACGGGAATCCAAAGATAACTTGGGCGGTAAGCTAGAATGGCGAAATTAGGGTAACCATTCCAGCAGTTGGACAGTGTGCAGATGGTCTCATTGGTCTCATTATCAGCAGATGAGTTACAATAAAAGGAATACCGATGGGAGAGGACAAAGACAAACGAAGGGTCTACACAGATCTCCTTGTTGAGCGGGTGGGTCTTATTGGCTGCCCCGGTGGCAGTGGAAGTATTGGACAATGTCTGATTAAGTGTCATGAAGGGGCGAAGGTCTAAGCATGCTCCCATTATGTTACAGAGCTGATGTTGTGCAAATATGGAGGAAGTATATTTGAGGGGGTTAGATTGAGGCTCACTGCAGTAACTCATAGACAACCAGGCGGCTTCCACCGAGTAATTTAGGATTTTGGATATATTACCCTCCTTTCTAGGGTGAGTGGTCCAGAGCCACCATCCCTCCTGTGTTACAGGGTAGGGATGCACAACCGGGACACAGCGGTGCCAGAAGACTTCTTCTAGTCTAGTCATTCTGGGAATATTAGAGGCTTCTAGTCTAGTCATTCTGGGAATATTAGAGCAGGATTCAAAGGACGGATGCCTTGGGGCCTGGAAATCTTTATTACAGTCAGGCAGTATGGGCCACCGCGCCTCATTAAGGGTCAGACAGGTTTTTAGGGTTTTTAATCCTTCTGACGAATTGACCCTGGATGTACCCTCACATTCCTGGCATGTCCAATTAACAAATTCCAGCAATGGGAATGTCAGGTTGGCCCTTTCTTTGGTGATGGATAAGTTTGCATAAGAGAGTATAATTGATAGTATATACCATGGGTGATGCAGGGGAAGCCGCGGAAAAGGGGGCCAAAGTGGGGGGGTGGTGCCAAAGGCCCCAAAGATCCTGTGCGGCAGCCATGCTGGTGGCGATAGCAAGCAATACTATGTGGAGATATACACTATAGCTTCGCCTAGCAAACTTGACGTGAGTGGGGGTTCCCAAGGTACCTGTGACCGGTAACGTCAGGGGAATCCCCCAGACCTCAACTGTCGCATTGTTGGGAAGGCGATTGCTTTTCGGTGACAGAGTCATTTCCCAGCTCCTGTGGTTCCTTCGTCCGCGGCGCGTTGGAGATCCTCACCAGTCGTTCTGGAATCCACACCGGTTCCTTTCCTGGTTCCTGTGGGAAGACACAAACCGCACCTCGGGTCCAGCTGAGCGCTGGGTCCGGGCCATTCCATTGTCCTGTAAGGACATCCTTCCATTTTACCATACCCTTATGCTTAGGAGAGGGAATTGTGTGCTCCTCTGCAGGGGAGCAATCATGTGCATTCAGATTTAAAAAATTATATGTAAACAGAGCCAATGAGAGTATTCCTTTCGGGGGGAGGCCATGGCCTATTCCCTCCTTTTGTTTTTGTAAGACAGTCTTGAGTGTTCTATGAGCTCGTTCAATAATGCCCTGCCCTTGTGGGTTATAGGGTATTCCATGTTTGAGAGTTACTTGCATTCTAGAGCAGAATTGAGCGAAGGCTTGGCTGGTATATGCCGGGCCATTATCAGTCTTTAGTATTTTTGGCCTTCCCCATGCAGCCCAGGCAGCCAGGCAATGATTAATAACATGTGTGACCCTTTCACCGGTTTCTGCAGTGGCAAAGATAACCTGCGAAAGGGTGTCAACAGACACATGCATGTATTTAAGGGTTCCAAATTCTTGAATATGGGTAACATCCATTTGCCAGATGTGATTGGGACTCAAGCCTCTAGGATTGATTCCGACAGAGGGTGTAGGTAGAAGAACCGTGCAATCTGAGCATAGCCTTACTGTCTCACATGCCTGTTGTCTAGGTATCCCAAATTGTGCTGCTAGGGTGCGCGCATTAACATGATACAAGGAATGGAACTCCTTTGCTGCTGAATATGGGTCCTGGAATTCGAAGATCCACAAGGGGCGCGTTGCCGCATCAGCGACAGCGTTGCCCTGGGACAGAGGTCCAGGCAGTTGACTATGGGCCCTAATGTGAGTGGTGAACACCTTACCCCTGCGGGAGAGCAGCAGGTTCTGTAATAAGTGAGTAACTGTGGAAGAGGGCTTAATAGGTCCGGCCGATTCTAAGATCTGCATGGCATTGACCACGTACTTGGAGTCTGAAATGATGTTAATGTTCTCTGGAAACATTTGAAGGACCTTTAACACAATTTGGAGTTCCACTACCTGAGGCTGATCAGGGGTGAACTGGTGAGAGACCGGGGGGTGGCTGGCCACTACATATGCCCCTACCCCCAATTTCGACCCATCCGTAAATATTACCGGAGCATTTGCGATGGGCTGTGAGGAGGTTATTTTAGGGAAAATAACCGGGTGGGCAGTCATAAATTGTAGGAGCGGGCTTCTGGGCATCTGATTATTGATGGGTCCATAAAAGGAGCATCTGAGGATAGCCCACACATCTACACAAGCTGTTAGGGTTTGTATCTGTTCCTCGGTATAAGGAACATGCAACGCCGCGGGCGGGACGCCAAAATGTTGGATGGATTGTTGGACAGCTCTTAGGGCGAGAGAGGCTATCGCTTCTGGGTAGTACTGTATAACCTTAGCAGGGGAGACTCTGGGATGGACCCAAAGCAGGGGTCCATCTTGCCATAAAGCGGCTGTAGGTTGTTTTGCTGTTTTCAAGAGGCATGCGACAAAAGGTTTTTCTGGGTCAATACGTTGCAGTGCTGCCTTGGTTAGTGCTTGTTCAATCTTCTGCAGGGCAGCTTCTGCCGCCGGGTTGAGCACCCTGGGGGAAGTTAGATCTGAGTCTCCCTTGAGAATTTCAAATAGGGGCTGTAGCTCGTGATCGGGCAAAGACAGATACGGCCTGATCCAATTAATATCACCTAGCAATTGCTGAGCATCGTTGAGGGTCTTTATGGTGTCCCTGCGGATGGTAAGCCTTTGAGGGAAGATCTGAGTAGGTGAGATGTTAGCCCCCAAATACGAGGTTAGGGCAGACTGTTGGATCTTGTTTGGGGCCATATGCAGGTTAGCCTGGCGGAGTGTGTCAACCAGTGAACTGAGGGCAGACCGTAGTTTGACCTCGTCCTTCCCAGAAAGTAGGATGTCATCCATGTAATGAAAACACCTGATGGTAGGGAATTCTTGAAGCACCGGCCGAATGACCGAGCTGACATACAGCTGGCATATAGTGGGGCTATTGGTCATTCCTTGGGGCAGAGCCTTCCATTCAAAGCGTAAATCTGGACCCTCCCGATTGATCGTGGGCAAGGCGAATGCAAATCGGGGGGTATCTGCCTCATGTAATGGGATAGAGAAAAAACAATCCTTCAAGTCTATCACATAGAGAGGCCATCCTTGTGGTAGGGCTGTGAGTGCCGGCAGGCCTCGCTGTACTGCTCCCAGCGGCTGGACCTGTGCATTGACAGCCCGCAAATCATGGAGAAGCCTCCACTTTCCAGATTTCTTTTTGATAACAAATATGGGGGTATTCCAAGGGGAAGTGGATGGCTGGATGTGCCCCAGCCGTAACTGCTCTTGTATCAATTGAAATGCTGCCTCTCTTTTCTCTGTAGGCAGGGGCCACTGCGTCACCCAGACAGGGGTATCTGACTTCCATGTCAATTTTATGGGAGTGGGTGTGAGAGGCATTGCAGCGGCCCCTAAGAAAAACCCAACCCTTTCCTGTCTTGTTTAATGGTAGTGGACACAGGAGAAGTATTTCCTTGCAATTTGATTCCCAGGCCTTTACCGGGGGTATAGCCCATCCACTTCATCATGTTTTGAGACACCTCAGAACATCCCGTATGTAGGGTGATGTCCATTTGGACTAGAATATCTCTGTCCCAAAGGACATAGGGTTGAAAAGACCCACCATGTCCCTCCTCGTCCTGCCAGGGAAGGGACTGCGCACTTATACTGGGTGAATGCACAAATCCCAATCCCTGAAGGGTCTGTTCTGCCACATTGAGGGGCCAGGAGGCCGGCCAATCTTTATGAGCAATGATAGAGCGGTCAGCGCTGGTGTCTAGCAACCCCTTAATTTTCTTACCATTGATTGAGAGGAGCAACATGGGTCGTTCCTGCAAGGTCATATGAAGGCCAATAAAATTTTCGCCTGTGGACCCAAATCCCTGGGCACCCCGAGACTGTTGCTTAGCTGGATATTGACCATGCAAGCTGGGCAGAATAAGTAACTGGGCTATCCTATCCCCTTTGTTTATAATCAGTGTTCCTTGTAATGACTGAGCCATAATCTTAACCTTGCCCATATAATCAGAATCGATGACACCTGGCACAACTGTAAGGCCACGAAGGGCCACTGAAGAGCGCCCTAAAAGCAGGCCAACAGTATTCGGTGGCAATGGCCCCTTAAATGAAGTTTCTATCAATTGGACTCCCATTTCAGGTGTTAGTATGAGTCCGGAGGCAGCACAGAGGTCCACTCCTGCTGACCCTGGGGTAGCCCTGACTGGCTGTTCACTCCCGGAAAGGGGCTGCTGGGGGAAACGGGGCCCGCCTTGTAGGAGGGCCCCCTCTGGCCGTTTTTTGACTGGGACTCTATGCGGCCAGTTAGAGAATTGCCCTCCTTATCAAAAACGGAACGACAGTCCTTGGCGGCATGGTGGCCCTTACAGCACCGTTGACATAGGCCCGCTTGTCCTCCGCTGGGTGTCCCACTTGGTTGAGGGTGGTCACCTTTGCTTTCTTTATTTGGACAAAATCTCCTAACAT